AATATAGTTTTTATAGTGATTATGAATTATAGATAAAGAATGTACCACGGTTATAACCGTATATTATTCAAAAACTAATCATACTGAAGACTTAAAATTTTAGTGTGATATTTAGCGATATTTTACGTACAAATATCTGGTTAGCATTATTTTGGAAAATGAAAAGTGGACCCTAAAATAACAAAGAGGGGCACAAGTCAAAAATACATGTAGTACATAAATTATAGATTTTCCTCTCTTGTTTTAGACCACTGCTTATTTCGAAAGATTCTGAAAGTAAATTAGTTAATTAAAGTCTTAATTTATTTATTAATTTATTAATTTATTAATTCTGAAAGTTAAAGTATTCTAAAATAATAAATAAAACTCTAGTGTGACATGATACGATACAGAAAGAAGTGAGCACCAAAAATTTACTGCACAATTTAATTTCCAACTTTAACAAAAAGCTCTAGAGACTAGATAACGCAACATAAATACATAATAGTACAATCCAAAATAATAAATATTATGGAAACAAATATGCTAGTTAATGACCAGAAAACAAAACAACGAATGTATCAGAAGAGTAACAGAAAAGTAATCTATATTAAAAAATATACAACAAAAATTATTGAGATGGTGACACACAAGAAGAATGAAACAAAACAAGAAAAACCTTAAGGCGGCTAGTCATTCTGCTGGCACTTCAATGTTCTGATACTATATCAAAAGATACCGCTGATTAAAATTTCCCGAAAGTTAAATTTATACGCTGATATGGAAAACATTTGTTTCAATTTTTATTATTCAAGATTGATAATTTACAAGTAGGTATGTATGTACATCGAAATTTGTAGGCGAAATCAACTTTTACTTTTCAATCGTTAGTTTTATTGCCTTGTATTTTAAATATTGTGTAATACAGGATGTTTTTACCGAATCGTTTAGCTGATTTTAATTAATCATCTGTAACAGAAAATAATAATATTACGGTATTAACAAAACATCAAGTAGGTATTTAATATATTTTCTTCTTAAAATCCAGGAAACAGAAGGTTCTTATTTTATAAAAAATAGAGAATATTCATAATTATTTGTTTTTTTTTTATAAAATTATACAGCAAAAACAAAACAAAAATCGATAAATAAAATCTACGGTTAAGAAAGAACAGCAACTTCGAAAAGAAAAAAAATACAAATTAACGGATTTGCTTAAGAGACGAAAAAAAAAAATGGGTATCTATTCGCAGGTCTTACAAAGTTTTAAATAAAATTAAATTATCACCTCTCATCTTCCTTTCACTATATTTTGTTTGAAATAATTGGAATTGGTAGGGATACGATATCCCAGATCCACGGAAAACGGTTAAGGCTAGTACTCAATTACTCAGTCAGATAATTCTCTTAAAATGTTGTTTTATAATATACTAGTGTTATCAATAAATTTATATCAAACAACTTTTTAAAAAGAATCGAAGAAATATCTTTAAAATATTAAAAATAAACCCTAACCTCCTTAATGAAGAAAAATATGGAAGAGGATTTTAAAAACCTATTGAAACATAATTAATTTGTGTGTAAAATGATATTTGTATATTATATTTGTGTGTATATATAATAATGTATAATAATTATTATAATATAATTTGTAATAAATAATTTATGTAAGTCGCCAAAGGCTACAAACAATCATTAGGAAGAAAAAACTTGAGGATTATACGTTAAGGATAAGAATCAGAACTGCTAGAAACAAAATTCATTGTTGCTCATAGAGAATTAGTAAGATTACATATCCAATCGATACTAAAGGACGTACTATAGATACCAGAAGCCACTACTCTCGAAATAAATCATGGAAAGTTTACATAAGCCGAGATTTGAAAATTAGCCGTCTTTACAGAGCTTTCCAAGAAAAATATCTGACAAGTAATATTCTTTAAAGTTATTAACGAGAAGTATTTAAAAAATATTTGTCGATCGGATAGCCAAGCGGGCTGGGCGGCTGGCTTTTCCTTCGCTTCAATGCGAAAGATTTCAGTTCAATTCCCAGCTCGGTGTACAGAAAACAAAAAGGCTAACGCAGCAGTTTAAAATTCTAGATGAATCTGCGGCTTAGTCTAGAATATGCTGGTATCTTCTCTGCCTATGGTGAAGCAGTACGGCAAGAGATAGGGCTTGTGGTTCGGTGATACTCCTTCATAGATCCCTACCGGAAGGGCGTGTGCCGTCCAAATACCGGATATATATATATATATATATATATATATATATATATAATATATATATATATATATATATATATATACAATTCTTTGGAGGGTAACTTTCGGGAAAGCGTCAAAACAAGGATCAGCTAGAGATGGTATAAGCCAGCTTGGTGTAGAACTTTATTCTATATGTGAAATTTTCGGTGATATGTTTGTCACCTTCATCAGCACCTAAATGGAAAACCTATTATAGTACAGTGGTGGAAATCAACATTTAAAAACCTACATTGAAAATGTTCAGTTGGTCCTAGTTGTAAAAAAACACTGTCACAAACATGTTAAAAATATTAAAAAAATACATTTAAAATTTTGAATAAAAACATTACAACAACAGGGTAGTTTTTCAAATACAAACACAACAAAAAGTCTAAAATTTACAACCTACAAAAACTACAAATAGAAAAGAAGAATTAATCTTCTTTTTTGATGACATATTTCTGTCAACATCCGGGTGTCATATGTAACGAGGTTATAATTTTCACTTTTGCACATCACAACCACATGGATACCAAAGTTTTGTTCCTGAAACTGATTACCTTTTTATACAACAATACATATGGTTGTGATGTGCAAAAGTGAAAATTATAACCTCGTTACATATGACACCCGGATGTTGACAGAAATATGTCATCAAAAAAGAAGATTAATTCTTCTTTTCTATTTGTAGTTTTTGTAGGTTGTAAATTTTAGACTTTTTGTTGTGTTTGTATTTGAAAAACTACCCTGTTGTTGTAATGTTTTTATTCAAAATTTTAAATGTATTTTTTAATATTTTTAACATGTTTGTGACAGTGTTTTTTACAACTAGGACCAACTGAACATTTTCAATGTAGGTTTTTAAATGTTGATTTCCACCACTGTACTATAATAGGTTTTCCATTTAGGTGCTGATGAAGGTGACAACATATCACCGAAAATTTCACATATAGAATAAAGTTCTACACCAAGCTGGCTTATACCATCTCTAGCTGATCCTTGTTTTGACGCTTTCCCGAAAGTTACCCTCCAAAGAATTGTATTCTTAGCGTCGTTATACACACTCTATATATATATATAATATATATATATATATATATATATATATTTAAAAAATATTTTTCCAATGTGTCCTTCAAAAGACCTAGAACGCACAGTTGCAAAACCTGTGAGCTCGTAAATATTGAAATTAAACTTAAAAATAAAGAAAGTACAAAGGCCAAAGTACAATTGAAGTTTTATCATGACAAAAGTGAGCAAGTTAGGAATATATAACTCAATCCCAGACACCTGCGTTTTATCTATGGATTTAGAACAGATACTTTTTGTATCAAATGTAACGTACTTTGAAATATTTTACTTAGAGCAGCAATCTTGTTTTAATTTTGAAATAAAAATAGAGAATAACGGCCAACCTATGATGTGTATGTGGAATGAAAGCATTGGAAATCGTGATGGCAATGACAGCAGCTCTTGTTTGCTAAAAGATCTAAATATGTAAAATTACGGATACAAAATACCTAGTGATATGGAGTAATAACTGCTTCGGTTAAAATAAAAACCATATGATTGTTTTCACATTTCTTTTTTTGGTATCATTAAGGGTGTTGACATTATTTTTTTTTTGTTTAATAAAACTCCAACAGGAATCTTATGACTACTGCTATCTGATCATTCACTATGATCAATAAGCAAGTTAGTTCTATATATGTGTTGACATTATTGAATAAAAGTTTATTGTAAGTGCCATAGATTCTTGAGTCGTGATCGTGACTTTGCACAGGTGGAAAAAAGAAAAAGAGTTATGAAATAGTTTATTATATTTGATTTGATTAATGTTATTACATCTGCAAGAGTTCATATACTTTATCACCTTATGGAGTGGTGGTAATGGAAAAAGACAATTTCTTTAATATCCAGGCTGTTGCAATTTCTATAATCAATATTTCTAAACTAAATATCACTAAGGTGGTGGTCCTTTCATATGTAGCAAAAGATCCGTCAACGGTTTTATCAAAAACCGCCCACTCAGCAGAAATTTAGTCCAAAACTGTAATTTTAAAGAAAATGAGTGTCCAGGATATCAGAAGAGTAATCTTAGGACCTTCAGTGAATAAACCTATTAGTGAAGAGAAGAAACAAAACTTACGGGCCATGATACCTTTTTTAAATGATAAAAGCATAAAGATTTTTATGTGAATATTTTTTAAGGAGCACTTAGCTCTTTGTTAACAGAGTTTGGTACTTAGCCCTGTTCAAATGTTTTTATCGGAATTATTTTGTTTTTTAATGTTCATAAGAATGATTTTTTTATGCAAGGTGTTTTGCGATCCTTACGTTAAATTATATTTCTTAATTTAAAAAAAAAAAAATGTTAATAAAATGTTTATTTTTGATAACTGTGTTTTGCTGCTTGGCCTGTTTTTTACTTATGGCCTTCAATTATAAAATGTAATTTTTGTTACAATTAATTGTGGTGTAATCTTATCTAAAGATAAAATTTAACTTGCCATAAGAAAACAGCGTCAGAACCCTTTTTTTCCAATTATTATTACACTTTGTTTGATTTCTTAATGCCTCTTTGTTATCAATATTTAGTTATATTACAAATATATTTTAACATTGTATATTTAATAATTATGCATAATGGGGAATTAGGAAGGAAAATGTACTTTCTTGCCAGCAAATTATTTTATAAAACCGTACAATTTTACTTCCTTATCCTGTTAAGCTGAATAATTCAGTAAAAACAAGCAAAAATCAATAATAACTTACCTTTTGAATTTGAGCATCTTTAGGAATTAAAAACGTATTTTGTGCTTGTCTAATAGCTTCCTGGGTATACGCACTGCCTTCCTTTTGTGGAAAAGCTGCTACGAAACCGATGAAAGCCAGGCAAATGAAGAATTTCATTGTTGAACCTGAAAAAGGAAAGCCAATAGGTGAATAAAACGTGTTGTGTAATTTTTTAAAGGTTACTGACCAAGTCCGAAAACGGAAAGTTGAAGTCAATACGAGAAATGCGCAATAATAAAATTCAATGGTACAAAATCAAAACTTGACAAACAGGTCTCTAGTTTAAATAGTATGATTGTTGTCAAACAAATACAATTCATTTATTATCGTATAGTATAATAATAACATAGCTAATATATTTCTGTACTAAATATTCATATATTATTAAAAAATAATATTTTAATGGTTCTAAATTTTTAGAACAAAGTCTTAAATATAATTTAATAACAAAATAATTAAAAGTATAGAAATAATAGAAAAACAAATTATTAACATTGTTTACAGTATTGTTAAAGACAATACCAAATAAATAAAAATAAAGTGCTGCTACAACAAACAAGCCTAGTTTCCATAAATTCGACGAATTTAGGCTAATTAGTTATTGAGTTAGAAAGGCCTTGGGAACAAAAGGGGCACTATTTGCGACTTAAACACTAATTTAAAAGGCCTCGATCACCAGAAAAAGAAATATCTCTATTTCATCGACTACCAAAAGGCTTTTGATAGAGTCCAGTATAAAAATTGTACAAACTACAGAAAATAAGCTAGGTGGAGAAGATCTCCACATTCAAACCTTTATTGGAACTAAGAAGTAACTTTAAAATATTCCAACCATATTACTAAAAGCGTAAATATACAAAGATGATTTTGAAGATTTAACTTGTACTTTGAATGCATATTCAAACAAGGACTAGATGGCGCGGAAATTGGTATGAAAATATCAGGTAATCAGACGATATCATTCTGATTGCAGAAAAAATGGAAGACTTACAAAATATTCTAGACTGAGTTACTAATGAAAATTGTCGCATTGACCTAAATGGCACTCAATTAAAACAAGTTCACACATTCAGATACTTGGGAGTAGTACTAAATGATAATTGAAATGCAGATATATAAATAAAAACATGAATAAAACAGGCTAGGAACATGTACAATAAATGGAACAAATTATCTTTAATTGAAAACAAAGCTTAGACATCCCAATTAGAGTTATTGAATGATACGTTTCTTCTTCTTCAGAAGAAGACAGTACAGCTTTAAACAAAAGTTATATTCTTTAATAAGAGCAAAGACATATGTCCGTACAAAATATAAAATTGAGTTTAACACAGTTGAAAGTTCGCATAAAAATCGAGAAGACCCAGAAAAAAAAAATCATGGAAAGAAACTGCACGAACCTAAACAACTATCTAGGAGAAAAAATAAGTACTAAAACATGGAGACTTATAAAAAATCTAATATTTTATTCAAAATTTTAGGTGACACTAAGATTATTTAAAGATACATTAATAGCTTAGCGTAGCAATGTAGCAAAAACCAGACGAGGGGTCAAACTATTTTAAATGTTTTTAGATATTTTATATCACTGATATACCATATTCTAATATAGTATAGTATTTTGCTAAAAATATTCCTGATTTTCTAGAAATAACTTTAGCGCGACAATAATATCTCACTAGTATTTTTAAACGGGACATATTTTAACCCATTAGTTTTTTACAGTATATCGAAAAGGAGGGCTTTCTGAAAAGGAACTTCAATTTTTAACCAATAACCTTTTAGACATTAGTTAGAGTTAGACCCTTATGAGACTAATGATGACAGTGACAAAATTTGTTTGAGAGAGACATTTTCTAATGCGGATGATCAAAGAGACGAAAATGTCAATAGCGATGATGAACAACTTTCTGGAATTTAAGATAAAGATATTGCAGATAATCAGGTGCCGTTAAGGAGGAAAATATAACATGGTCTACCTAACCCACAGATTTCTTCCAAGATTTCAGATTTATCTAATAAACACCTGTGAGCTAGACAACGAGATAAAAAGATCTTTGAAACCGATAGATATTAAAAAAAAATGTTTCCTCTAAGTTTGTATATTTTTATTTACGAATCCACTAATAAGATATTGACAATTTATGAAAAACAAAAAAAAAAAGAAAACAATTGCTAAAACCAATATCGGGAAGATTCGTTTACTCTTTTGTTATGAGTTACAACATATTGCCAGCACTTCGACACTATTGGTCAATCCATATATCCAGTGGTAACATACTAAATAGTATTTCTATAAATATATTTACTATCCAAATCCAGTACTATCCAAAATGTACATGAATGATCCAGAAAAACAAAATTTTCCCAAGAAGTATTACGTAGGAGAACTTATTAATTGTTTAAAGCATTTTTTTCAAAACTGTAAAACTGATTTTTCTAGTCAGAGTATTGATAAAAGCTTGGTAAAATTTAAAGAGCGTTCTGCGTTCAAACAGTACTTACCGATGAAGCATGTCAAAAGGGGCATTAAAATATGGGTAACAAGGGACGCCTTCACTGGTTACACCTATGACATAAATGTGTATGCTGGGAAGGAAGACAGACAAGTTGATAGAACGGTTGGTGTGAGAGTCGTGTACATTTAGCTAGTACAATAAAGTCTAAAGACGTAGTACTATGTTTGTCAGGTTTAATTCCTTATTGATGATTCCTCATTGATAAGGAAAAAATTCTACCAAAACTCACCAAAAAAAAAAAAGATAAGAGATCTGAGTTTATTGAAAATAAATATGGTATACTTTGTGTGAAGTGACAAGATACCAAGGAAGTCCTAATTCTTAGTAACTGTTATGCAGATAACCTTAAAACTGCACTGTGCCGTGATAACGATGGGGTCAGAAAAGAAGTTGAATGTCCAGCGGCAATAAGCTTCTACGACAATTGTATGCAAAAAGTGGATTCAACGGACCAATTAGAAGGTTTGCATACCGAGAAAATGGTGGAAAAAGGTGTTTTTTAGACTGTCTATGGTTTTTGCTGTAAACAGTTATCTACAACGGTTTTTATGGAAAAAAACACCTTTTCTTGAATTCTCAATAGCTCTAGCTGAAAGGTGGATTCAGTTAGGAAAGGCTACATCAAAAGTTTACACACAAAAAGAAGCTCAAAGAGGAGGCCGCCCAAGAGCATAAAAAGTATGATAAATGTAGAAGAACATCTGCCAGTTAAGGGTGGAACGCTGCCATTGTTAATGTTGGCAAATTTTGTACCTAATATCTTGAGGATCAATTGTTTTAAGATTAGTTTGTCTCATATATTGTCGGTAAATATAAGTCAGCGATAGATCTTTATACTTTATGATCATTTCGCTATGCCAATTTGTAATAACTACTTTATCGCTTTGGAAATATTTATCTAACTCCACAAATTTTGGTAAAGTCAAAGACTAGGAGGAAATATAATTTCTATCTCTCTTTTTTGAATAACTGAAAACATAACGTTAGTATATCTCGCTAATATTTTTTCCTATCTGTATATCAAGAATTACGTAAAATTTCCTGTAAATATAATTACTCCTCAGACTTTCTTAGAAACATCTGTATTTGACTATATTTAACAAGACATACAAAAATAGACAAGAATATATTTATTAAAACATATAAACACATAAATAGGTTTTTTCAAAACATATAAATGTCTCACATACGAGAATAGATTGATATTGAACTAGCCCTTGATAGATGGCGCTACTTGATAGCGAATTTGTTTCGGTGTTGACATTTGCCATCCATGACATGACGTTTGTTAAAATTTTAAGTTTTAAAAACAATTAGTTTGGTTTTTACAGCCAATTTTAAGCAAGAAAATTTTGTGTGTTTATGGTGAGGTTGTGTTCTCGGACGCGACTAGTTCACGTTCGAGACGCATCGTCCCGCCCTTATTTTTCCCGTTGGCCCCTCCCTGACCTGGAAATCCCTAATCGCTACTTCACAAAGTATAAAAATAGGTGATTTTCAGGTCAATAAGTCAGTCCTTCACGGCTCTCCGAGAGCTTAGTGCTCTCGGGCTCTGCTTCCTTTTTTAGCTTTCCATACTCTGTGGCTGAGTATTTATTCAACTTTAAACTTGGTGTTTTATTTCGACTATTTAGTCATGTAAGAAATATCTTGCCTTTGTCAAGGCAAGCCACCGAAGACTGCAACCTGATGTTTATTTCGACTTTCTTAGTTGTAAGTCATGTAAGAAATAGCTCGTCTTTTTCAAGAAGAGCTCATCAGAAGAAAATTCTACAAGTCTATACCCAGTAAATAGATTTGGGTAGAGGTGCATTCGTAGACATTCTCGAAGCCCTCTACAGAGCACCCGGAGGCAATAGAAGGAGTTTAGACCCTTAATTCTTCCCCCGCGGTGACAGTTGCACCTTCATTAGCAACAGTTAGATTTTGAATTTTGATGAGTGTTCCGGGAGGCCCAATTAGGTCACCACGCCAGAAATGATCAACAAAGTCCATGACATGATTATGGCAGATCATCGAATTAAGCTCCGCGAGTTAGTAGTAGTTTACTACGAACACGTACACAACATCATTCCCTATCATTTGCACATGAAAAAGCTATCCGCACGATGGTTGCCGCGTTTGCTGACAATCGATTAAATGCATCGCTCCAATGTATTTGATCCACGCTCCAAGGTATTTGTACGAAGATATTTGTTCAATTTCTGTATTATCTAGTACAAGTTAAGCTATACTAGATAATACAGAAATTGAACAAATATCGTCGTACAAATACCTTGGAGCATGGATCACAGAAGATACTGATCAGACAAAAGAAATAAGATGCCGCATTTAAATTGCGCGGTCAACTTTTAATAGAATGAGAAAACTTTTTTGTAATCGCGATATCAATATATCACTCCGGATAAGAATGCTTCGATGTTATATTTTCTCTACCCTTTTGTATGAGATTGAAGCTTGGACAGTTAAAAAATCCAACATTAAAAACCTAGAAGCATTCGAAATGTGGTGTAACCGACGTATTTTGAAAATATCATGGATGGATCGCAAAACAACGAACAATTCTCGAACAACTAGGAAAACAATGCAAAGTTTTAAATTCCATAAA